GAGGTTAAAGGACAGATCAGAGTTTAAGTCTCATTAAAAGTACTTCTATATACTGAAGCGTCACATGAAGTTATCAAAAACAAACCTGCAGACGACATGATTTAGGATTTAGATCTTTTACAGCGGATACTTCAGTCAGAATGAAGTCTCTTTAGACGTGAGACACACTTCCTTTAACTTGACACAGTTCTGATGATCAACGGAAAGTTTCACTTCTTCTAAAGCTGAGATAAGCTGACAAAGTGAAAAGTTCTGTAGTTTGATAGTCATTACTCAGGGGACGTCGAGGGGTCCAACCTCTGGGTGTGGGTCGGGGGGGGGGGGTTCAACCTCTGGGTGTGTGGATCGGGTGGGTGGTTCAACCTCTGGGTGTGTGGATCAGGGGACGTTGTCGGGTGTCCAGGGCCCCTGGATATGTTGGCTCTGCAGGAGCCTCTGCAGCTCCTTGAACTGCTCCACCGTCTGGTCCTTCACGTCAGGGTTTGAGATCTGCAGCCGGATGCTGTCTGTGGACCAACTGAGTTCTCCAGAGAACATCTCTGTCAGGATCCGAGCCACGACGGGAACAACCTGAGGACAACCAGAACCAGGTTTAAAAACCACAGAAAACAAACTGAGTGAAGGATTTAAATGGTGACGGAGGATGAGGAAGAGCGCCCCCAGTGGACAAGTGTTGACGAACAGACCTGGACGATGATGAGCTTCTTCTCTTTGGGTTTCTTGTCGGGCCAGTCCTCCCCGAAACAGAAATAGATCTCGAAGGGTGGAGGGTTCTGAGTTTCCCCTCTATGGAACAGGATCAGCCCTGCGGACCGACACACGTTGATGTAAATGTGTAAATGAGACAGAGTTCGCCAACACCTCAGTGATTCAGTACCTTGCAGGAAGTCGTTGAGGCTGAACACCTTGATCTTCTTCTCCCGCTCCAGGGGGTTCGGTGGACCGTGCTCGGGCATGCCGGGTCCGGACCAGAACACTTTGCACTGACAGAGGCGGACGGCATAGATGTCTTGCTCCCAGATCTCCAGGATCAGCCCGCGGTCCATGACGTCCAGCAGGGCGTCAGTGTAGAACCTCTGCTTCTGGTTCTGAACCTCAGACGTCCCGGGGAACAGGACCTGCTGCAGGGTGACGGGTCCAAACAGGTCCACCTGCTCCGGAGTCGGCTCCAGGTGTCCGTAGTAAATCCGGCAGCCCTGAGGGTTACTGACGGTCAGAGAGCCGGTCGACCGGCCTCGATACTGGAACCTCAGGTCAAGATCTGTTACTATGGACAGAGAGTATATCTGTTACATCTGTTCCTTCAACAACAACAACCAATGCCCTTTTAAATAAGGACGCCACGTTCTTAGTTAATGATACACGCTACTACTCAGCTTTCTTGGTAATACTCGGTGTTGAATAAACTTTTGTGATGTTCGGGGTTGAACCACAGAACCTGTTCCTCACCACACCTTCTCCACTGTGAGCCAACAGGTGGGCGTATCGTCCGGGTGAAACAGCACACCAGACTTCATCCTCCTTTAATCCTCTAGATCAGACTTAGTGGAGCTTTAGAGTTTTAACATTCATGAGTCATTCTCTTTGTTTTCCTCCCTGCAGAATAGAGGTTCAACTGTACTAGTTCACCTGAGATCAGGACCTTCTGGGATCCGGTGTTCAAGAGCTCCTGGTCGAAGACCACCAGAGACGCATCCTCTACCAGTTGCCTGAACCCTGAAGTTTCCCCCCCTGCTGCCAGTCTTTGTGCTAAGCTAAGCTAAAGCTAATGTTTTTATTGCCTCGACAAGAACCAAACAGGTGCTACTCACGTGGGACGCTGCTCAGCAGGTCGTACTTGCAAGGTTGCTGGTTCTGGACGTCCCCCATACTGCTGGCCTCCATCGGTGCCGGCTCGGGGGGAGCGGATGCTGCCGGCGGGGGGGGCAGAGAGTTCAGGTCCTGGAGTCCGTTGGAGAGTCCTGCGGCGTGGACGAAGCTCCCCTGAACCACCATCGGACCCTGAGCCCGGAGGTCGGAGGTCATGGGGATCATGTGTTCAAACACCGCCTCAGAATGCGCTGGGAAGGAGCCAAAGGAGGGGGGGGCACCGACGATCCTGGGGTCTGATGAGGCATGACATCATCACATTACATCATCACGAGAGGAAACGCTGAAACATGAGACTTCAGTGAAAAGATTCAAAAGGAAGGAAGAAAGAAGAACAACAAGGAAGGAAGAACAACAACAAACAAGGGAAGAAGAACAACAACAACAACAAACAAGGAAGAAAAGAAAGATATAAATATAAACCCGACAACAGAAACAGCTGATTAGCTGTGTGGGTTAAATATTCGCTACATCAGGTCTGGAGTCTCTGAACTCTCTTGTTCTATGAAGAACCCGAGGAACCCGAGACTCAAGGCCTTCGGGTTCCTCACAGATCCAGTTTGGTTTAAACGTGGTACTTACTGATGGTGAGGTCCATCAGGTTGGGCATCTGAGAATAGAAACACATTGTCGTCAGTCAGCTGATTAAAGTGTTTAAGAGAATTATTTTATTAACGTGTCGTCTTCCTCACCTCCTCGTCATCGTCGTCGGCTCCATCTGAGGAAGGAAGCAGATCGATGAGATGAAGATAAAGATGATGATGATGATGATGATATCATCGACCCCCTCACCTGTGTTCCCGCTCTGCTCACAGACCTCGTAGATCTTGTAGGGTTGAACCGGAGTCTCTTTGGTGCCGTCGTACTTCAGCTGAAACTCTCGGCTCTTGTTCAGAGCGCAGCGGAGGTTCGCCTTCCACTTGGCCGGCTCAGGTTCATCCACGCCCTCCTGGTATTTACCCGTCTCCAGGGCCCACGCCTGCAAGACACAGAGCAGGGCTAACACACAGCCAGCACAACAAACAGCTGATACA